CACCGTGTGCAGCTGTGTTCTCTTGCTCTCCCTCTTGTATCTTCTCAGGTCTGCATCTGTCACCGTGTGCAGCTGTGCATCTGTCACCGTGTGCAGCTGTGCATCTGTCACCGTGTGCAGCTGTGTTCATCTGTCACCGTGTGCAGCTGTGGTTCTCTATCTCTCTTATTATCTCTTTTATCTTCTCAGGTCTGCATCTGTCACCGTGTGCAGCTGTGTTCTCTTGCTCTCCCTCTTGTATCTTCTCAGGTGTGCATCTGTCACCGTGTGCAGCTGTGTTCTCTTGCTCTCCCTCTTGTATCTTCTCAGGTCTGCATCTGTCACCGTGTGCAGCTGTGATCTGTCATCTTATGATGCGACACCTGCTGCATCTGTCACGTGTGCAGCTGTTGCATCTGTCACCGTGTGCAGCTGTGATCTGTCACAGTGTGCAGCTGTGTTCTCTTGCTTCCCTTTGTATCTCTCAGGTCTGCATCTGTCACACGTGTGCAGACTGCTGCATCTATTCTTCTCTTGCTCTCCTGCTCACTTTATTTCTCATACTGATCTGTCACCATGTGCATGCTATTAGCTTCATCTTTAGCAACTACCTGCTGCATCTATATACTTCATCATATATATGCAGACACCATGCTGCATCTATATACTTCATCATATATATGCAGACACCATGCTGCATCTATATACTTCATCATATATATGCAGACACCATGCTGCATCTATATTTCTCATATATTGCGTCTCACCATGCTTGTATCTATTCAGTTGCATCTTCACGATGACCAGCTTGCATCTAGAATTCACAAAGTTGCAGAACCATGTGCATTTATCTGTCATCTTGCAGAACATGTGACTATATCTTGATCATCTATATGCAGACCTGTGCATCTATATACTCTCTTGTATGCTGTCTCATGCTGCTCTATACTTCACTAGTATGCAGACACTGCTGCATCTTATTTCACTGTGATATCTGTCACCTGTGCACTAGTGTTCTCATTTCTACCCATCTTGTTGGAGTTATGTTATCAAATTCACACATTGATTATTATTTCATATATTTATGACCATGTGTATCTATTTTATGCATATATAAATCATGTTCTTTCATTCTCATTATGCATCAGGACTATTTATATATTTGTCTAAATTTTATTTATATCATATATATGCAGACACCATGCTGCATCTATATACTTCATCATATATATGCAGACACCATGCTGCATCTATATATTTCATCATATATTTAACGTCAACAACTAGTTTTCAGCTTATCACTATTCGCATTATTTTTTGAAACATAAATTATCTCGTCTACTACACTAGTTTGCTTTTTTCTATTTTATTTTTGTCGTTTCAAGAGAAGTCTTTCATTGAGAACACTTAAAAAAGTTCTTTGAAATCCAGATATATGCAATTTTGTCACTCTTGTGCTTCTTGCAGTTTATATGTGAGTATAATATCTTGACTCATCTTATATACAAGTTTGGCGATATGAAAGCGATCTATTTGATAGCTGGTTTTAGCTTTGTCTAATAGCGTCTCTTAGTGTATCTACAACAGGACTAGCCAGAGAGATCAGCTAATTACTGGAAGGTTCTTTCCTGTCACCTTACGTCACTACAGTGTTTGCAATTTTTATATTTGTCTGCTAGTTTTCCTTTCGAAATTCCAACAACATATTGAAATGGTTAGTTTAGTTTCTCTGTAATTTCCTATAAAACCCAGGGTGATATCTCGTCCTAATTTTTGGGGGGCAGTATCCACTAACATTTTTTTTTTCGATTTTCTTATGTTATTGCAGTAGGCGTAAATTTAGTTGACTGTTGTGGGTTCAAGGTCTCTTTATTTAAAATATCTTATGTGTTGTGAATGAAGGCGACGATACGTGTCAGGTGTCAGGAGGCAGTGTCAGGTGGCAGGAGCAGGTAGCAGTGTCAGGAAGCAAGAACAGGTGGAAGGAACAGGTGACAATGTCAGGAGGTAGTGTCAGGTGGCAGTGTCAGATATCAGGAGCAGGTAACAGTGTCAGGAAGCAGGAACAGGTGACAGGAGTAGGAGGCAGTGTCAGGAGGCAGTGTCAGGTGGTAGTGTCAGGAGGCAGTGTCAGGTGGCAGCAGTATTAACGAGACACTTTACCGAAAAAAGGAGAGAAAAATAATAGCAAGAGGGAAACAAAAGCCACAGCCAGAGGAACTATGATAAAAATGAAAATAAAGAGGAAGGGAGATAAAAACATCAGGGGAAGAGAGATAAATAAACAGCAGGGAAGGGAGATAAATACAACAGTCAGGGGAAGAGAGATAAATACAACAGCAGGGGAAGGGAGATAAATACAACAGTCATGGGAAGAGAGATAAATACAACAGTCAGGGGAAGGGAGATAAATACAACAGCAGGGGAAGGGAGATAAATACAACAGTCAGGGGAATGGAGATAAATACATCAGGGGAAGGGAGGTAAATACATCAATCAGGGGAAGGGAGATAACGGGAGGGAAGTAACAGTAACAATCAGGGGAGGGAAGTAACATTAATAACCAAGGGGAGGGAAGTAACAGTAACAACCAAGGGGAGGGAAGTAACATTAATAACCAAGGGGAGGGAAGTAACAGTAACAACCAGGGGAGGAGGGAAGTAACAGTAACAACCAGGGGAGGGAAGTAACAGTAACAACCAGGGGAGGGAACATTAATAACCAAGGGAATGGAAGTAGCAATAACAAGGGGAAGGGAAGTAACAGTGACAACCAGCGGGAAAGGAAGTAACATGACAACTAGGGGAGGGAAGTAACAGTAACAACCAGGGGGAGGGAAGTAACAGTTATAGTCAAGGGGACGGCAGACATAAGCAGGATAATCCAGTAGGAGAGGGAGGGATGGAAGTAGGTGGGAGGGGATGGGAGTAAATGGAGAGGGGAGGAGTTGAGAGCAGGTTGAAGGGAAGGGGTGTAGATTGTAAGGGAGCAGGTGGAAGGGGAATAGATGGGAGGGGAGGGAAATAGGTGGGAGGGGAGGGAAATACGTGGGAGGGTGAGGACTGACATAAAAATCTAGTAATTTACACAGTAAATGCAGCGTAAGCAAACCAGTGTGTGAGAGGATTTAAACCGCTACATTTCACTACTACAAAAATCCACCACAATGCAGAGATTCTCATTATTTTTTTACATAAATTATGAAGAAAACTCTCGAAAAGTGTTAAAAAAGTTCATTAATAAAAAATGTTAAATATTTTTTTGAATATGAAGGAACGAATATATTTTTCAGTTAATTCATTCAAATTATTTTTATATAAATATAATTATTATTATTATACTATTATGATAAATGTGATGTAGTTGTCTGTTCATCTAAATTGAACAAATAAAAATGTTGGACTTGCAACATAAAGTATGCCATTAAATAATTTCTGATGAGGACACTGGAAAGTTGTAGGATAAGTTGATGTTGTAGTGGGAGATGTAGCGAGTGCACTTCTGTGTTAGACAAACGTAAGGTTCTAATCCTAGGAAAAGAAAATAACTATGACACAAACTAAATAATGTAGATCATAGTCACAATGAATGCAAAAAAGATTTAGGAGTTCTGGTTAGAAGAAATCAAAAGCCAGTGCAGAGGTGCGCAAGTGTTCGCAGTAAAGCTGATAGAATTCTTGATTTCATATTAAGAAGTGTAATTATTAGAAGTTCTGAGGTTGTACTTCTAATTTATATTTATTTGTTAGACCTCAGTCAGATTATGCTACTCAGTTCTGGTCTCCATATTATAAGATCAGCATAAATGCGCTCAGAAGCAAACACAGAAGTATAAGGAAGTTGATGCCATATATTAGAAAGCTTTCATGCTAAAATAGGCTTAAGGCACTGAACTTTCATGGTGAGGCAGGAGTAGAATTAGGGGAGATATGACTAAAGTATAGGACTCACAATAATAAATTCACGATGGAAAAATATAGATTTATAAAAGATATTGGGAAGTGCCGGTTTGTAAATAGAGTTGTAGGTGATAGGAACAAATTCCAAGGGAGCGTCATCGTGACAAGAAATTTGGGTAATTATAAGTTTAGGTTGGAAGGATACAATGAGTGTATGTGAGTGTAACCTCGACTAAATACTGTCTTCCATGGTGATCTCACTTACGGGCACTTAATAATGGTGATCCCACTTACGAGCACTTAATAATGGTGATCCTACTTACGAGCACTTAATAATGGTGATCCTACTTACCGGCATATAATAATGGTGATCCTACTTACCGGCATATAATAATGGTGATCCTACTTACCGTCATATAATAATGGTGATCCTACTTACCAGCTTATAATAATGGTGATCCTACTTACAAGCTTATAATAATTGTATGGAACCAACTTATACTAAAATATACTGAACACACTTCAACACTTGTTTTTTGTTAAAACTTGCAACCAATATATTAACTAGCAAGTCATACCTCACATTATTATTATTATTGTTATTATTATTATTATTATTATTATTATTATTATTATTATTATTATATTATATATATTGTAGTATTATTATTATTATATTATATAGTATATATATTATTATGTTATTATTATATTATATATTATTATTATTAGTAGTAGTAGTAGTAGTAGTAGTAGTAGTAGTATAAAAAACGATATATAAACGTATATATATGTGTGTGTGTGTGTGTCGGGGGGGAGTCATTCATTTCTTTTTACTTATGTATGTAAAATGAAGGCAAAATCATTCGATTCTGCTGTTACTGAATTATGACCCGTCTTGGGAAGCACAGGACAAACTTGATGTTATAACTAGCTTAGTCATGAGAGAGAGAGAGAGAGAGTATAAGACTAAACAAACATATAACCTGCTGAGGTAGAGGAGAGGTAATACCGTTAGACTAAGCCTTGTTGAGATGTCTTTTTTGAGTCTTCTGAGTTCGTGGAGAAGCAGCAATGGTAGCTGACGCTGCTACACCTGCTACCACCACTGCTGCTACCACCACTGCTGCTACCACCACTGCTGTTGCAGACATCAGAGTGGGTGGCCTCTCCCGCCATTAAATTGGATTTTCTACCATATTGTTATAGTAGTAAGGTAAATTGGTCAGTTATTCTTTAATAGTGCTATTAAGTTTTCCAAATATGGCTGCAACGGAAACTATTTTTTGGTTGTTTTATTAATTCTGCTTCAGTAATTTGCTGGAAACTCTGGTGTAATTTATTGAACAAACATTTGTTAAGGAGACGCCACCTTGTTAAAAAATAATTTAAATTAACTTTTGGAATATTGTGAAGAGTAAAAAATTATCGACGAGCGAGGTAAATTAGTTACAATTGTTTTATAAGATTCTTTTTTTGTTGGACTTAAATTGTTTACCACTGGTCCTACCAGACTTGTTTACTTAATTTTTTTACCACTGGTCCTACCAGACTTGTTTACTTAAATTGTTTACCACTGGTCCTACCAGACTTGTGTACTTAAATTTTTTACCAGTGGTCCTACCAGACTTGTGTACTTAAATTTTTACCAGTGGTCCTACCAGACTTGTGTACTTAAATTATTTACCAGTGGTCCTACCAGACTTGTTTACTTAAATTTTTTACCAGTGTTCCTACCAGACTTGTGTACTTAAATTTTTTACCAGTGTTCCTACCAGACTTGTGTACTTAAATTTTTTACCAGTGGTCGTACTAGACTTACTTATGATATTAATACAATGATTGGGACATTTCTTAGAATAATGAATATTAAAAGTGAAATGGCTGGTGCTACAGAAGATATTATCTGGTTGTTGACAGTTGATGCCAGACTTAAGTAGCTTTGTTAAAGTTCTCAGTGGAATGGAAGAAGTAAATATGTGACCTTAACAGGGAAATGCGACAACTGGAACGAGATTATTTAAGCGGAAATGAAACAGGATGTGATTCTGGTTATTTTGCAGAAGCCTCAGCAGTGTGCACTGCCAGGTCACTGTAAGAATATGCAAGACGCTGTGCTGTTGTATACAGTACTCAGCATGATGCTGTGCTGTTGTATACAGTATCAGCATGATGCTGTGCTGTTGTATACAGTAATCAGCATGATGCTGTGCTGTTGCATACAGTACTCAGCATGATGTGTGCTGTTGATACAGTATCAGCATGATGCTGTGCTGTTGCATACAGTTATCAGCATGATGCTGTGCTGTTGCATACAGTAATCAGTATGATGCTGTGCTGTTGCATACAGTAATCAGCATGATACTGTGCTGTTGCATACAGTTATCAGCATGATACTGTGCTGTTGCATACAGTAATCAGCATGATGCTGTGCTGTTGCATACAGTAATCAGCATGATACTGTGCTGTTGTATACAGTTATCAGCATGATGCTGTGCTGTTGCATACAGTAATCAGCATGATGCTGTGCTGTTGCATACAGTTATCAGCATGATGGTGTGCTGTTGCATACAGTAATCAGTATGATACTGTGCTGTTGCATACAGTAATCAGTATGATACTGTGCTGTTGCATACAGTAATCAGTATGATACTGTGCTGTTGATACAGTTAATCAGATGATCTGTGCTGTTGCATACAGTTATCAGCATGATGCTGTGCTGTTGCATACAGTTATCAGCATGATGCTGTGCTGTTGCATGCAGTAATCAGTATGATACTGTGCTGTTGCATACAGTTATCAGCATGATGCTGTGCTGTTGCATACAGTAATCAGCATGATGCTGTGCTGTTGCATACAGTTATCAGCATGATGCTGTGCTGTTGCATACAGTAATCAGTATGATACTGTGCTGTTGCATACAGTAATCAGTATGATACTGTGCTGTTGCATACATATCAGCATGAGGCTGTGCATAGTAATCATGTCTGCTGTCAATGTACAGTGAGAATATCAATTCAAAAGAACTGCCAAAACATAGAATATAAATTGATCAACAAATGTTCCTAGTGCCACTACTATAGTTTGTTGTAATAAAAAGTAACTAATAATTGTTAAAATAATTATAATACAATAATATTTAAGTGTAGTTTTACCAACGCTCTTATATGGGTGTGAAGCGTGGGTGATGAATGTTGCAGCGAGGAGAAGGCTGGAGGCAGTGGAGATGTCATGTCTGAGGGCAATGTGTGGTGTGAATATAATGCAGAGAATTCATAGTTTGGAAGTTAGGAGGAGGTGCGGGATTACCAAAACTGTTGTCCAGAGGGCTGAGGAAGGGTTGTTGAGGTGGTTCGGACATGTAGAGAGAATGGAGCGAAACCGAATGACTTCAAGAGTGTATCAGTCTGTTTGTGGAAGGAAGGGGGGGGTAGGGGTCGGCCTAGGGAAAAGGGTTGGGGGGGAGGGTGTAAAGGAGGTTTTGTGTGCGAGGGGCTTGGACTTCCAGCGGCATGCGTGAGCGTGTTTGATAGGAGTGAATGGAGACAAATGGTTTTTTTAATACTTGACGTGCTGTTGGAGTGTGAGCAAAGTAACATTTATGAAGGGATTCAGGGAAACCGGCAGGCCGGACTTGAGTCCTGGAGATGGGAAGTATAGTGCCTGCACTCTGAAGGAGGGGTGTTAATGTTGCAGTTTAAAAACTGTAGTGTAAAGCACCCTTCTGGCAAGACAGTGATGGAGTGAATGATGGTGAAAGCTTTTCTTTTTCGGGCCACCCTGCCTTGGTGGGAATCGGCCAGTGTGATAATAATAAATAAATAATATTTATGTGAATAAATAATAAGTTAAACATCATTATAAAAAGTACCTAAATTTACCTCTACTGAACGAGGTAATATAGACCCAACATACAGTTCTTTAATATTTTTGACCCTGCCGGTTGGATCTGATAGGGCAGCCGGTTGTGGCTGCCTCAGCCGGATATTACGTTAGCCAGCCGGTAATATAGTGGTGATAACAGCCCAGGGCAGCGTTAGCAATGTGCTAAAGTGGTGTGTAAAGTGGCGACACCCTTGTTCATGGTGCCAGCTGACACCCTTGTTCATGGTGCCAGCTGACACCCTCGTTCGTGGTGCCAGCTGACACCCTCGCTCATGGTGCCAGCTGACACCCTCGCTCATGGTGCCAGCTGACACCCACGCTCGATGCCAGCTGACACCCACGCTCATGATGCCAGCTGACACCTTCGCTCATGGTGCCAGCTGACACCCTCGTTCATGGTGCCAGCTGATACCGTCGTTCACAGTGCCAGCTGATACCCACGTTCATGATGCCAGCTGACACCCACGCTCATGATGCCAGCTGACACCTTCGCTCATGGTGCCAGCTGACACCCTCGTTCATGGTGCCAGCTGATACCGTCGTCCACAGTGCCAGCTGATACCCACGTTCATGATGCCATCTGACACCCTCGTTCATGGTGCCAGCTGACACCCTCGCTCATGGTGCCAGCTGATACATTCGCTCATGGTTGATAGCTGATACCAACACTTATGGTGCCAATTGACACTGCCGGTGTATTATTATTATCATTATTAAAAGTCGTAGTGTGATGAAAATAATAATTATTAATAATATTATCACTACACGACTTTAATAATAATAATAATAATAATAATAATAATAATAATAACAACAACAACAACACCGAGGGTGTCAGTTGGCACAGAGGAAGGGTGACCCAAGTAAAAAGAGAGCACTTTGCCATTCATTCAGTGACTGTCTTGCCAGAAGCGCGCTGTCATGACAGTTCCTACGACCCTTCAGACCACAACATCCCCTTTACGTTGTGACGGCTGTTGTTGTTCTCATGTGAACAGTGACACCATGCACAGGTGCATTTACAACGTTGTAATGAGACAGTGTAAATTACTTTCACAGTGAAATGTGCCTACATTGAACTAAACTGGCAGCCAATTTACTGTTCTGAATTCGCAACTATATTTTTGCAAGAGAATTTATTTAAAGGAAAATGTAAACAAAAATAACGCACTATATTCAATATCTTTTTGAGAACTTCCCATCTTTTTCTCCATCTCACTAACGAGACGGGATAGTCAGACTCATGGGCTCAGGGATAAAATGTAGCCATGTCATAAAGGGGATCTGACGTGCTCGTTCCCTTAATGTTTACATGGAAATGCTGGAGGCTCCATGGCTAGTGAAAATCGTAAGGGTAACGAAGCATCTATATAGAATAATCTGTTTGATGAATGAAACGAGTCTTTTGTCTCATTGTTTACATCAGAGTCTTGGAAGCTCTTCTGCTGTTTCTTCTTTTTAAATTTACAATTTCTTTCTCTATATAGATCTGTTGGAAATTAGGAACGGCTAAGCAATTATTTAATCATGATTTACTGCTGACAGAAACCACGTTGGACTGTTGGTTAGACAAGCACCATAAGGGTCAAAACTGATGTTACTTTAGCACTGATTGGTTGGCAAAAACGAGTCTACACACGTTTTGGGTGCTAATTATATAGGAAAGCTTGAAGCTCGCCGGGTAGCCCAGAACGTTAATGACCTGCTTCAGTGTCAGGATGAAATTAACAAGTGTGAATAAACATATTTATAAGAACTATTTTATAGTGTAAATGACTCTTTTATAAAAGTTTATTCCTCATTTTAATAAGAACTCTGGAATGTAAATGAGAAGAACTGATGAATGGAGACAGAATTTAAGAAAATAAAAATTTAGACGATAAGACTTTTGGGCACGAAAAAGCAGGAATGTACGTAAACTTAGGTTTAGGTTGATAGAGAGAAGGAGGGAGTGAGAAGAGGAGGAGGAAAAGGGAGCAGTAAAGGAGAGACGAGAGTAAAGAGAGGCGAGAGTAAAGGAAGGTGAGGCGAGAGTAAAGGAAGGAGAGGGTGAGAGATAGTCAAAGAATAAGTGAGAGAGAGAGTTAAGGAAGAAGAGACGAGAGAGTAAAGGAATAAGTGAGACAGGGTAATGAAGAGGTGAAAGAGAGAGAAAATAAAGGAAGAGGTGTGAGAGAGAGTAAAGAAAGAAGTGTGAGAGAGTAAAGAAAGAAGAGGTACGAGAATAGAGGAAGAGGTGAGAGAGAGTAAAGGGTG